CTTGTTTTTCCTCTTTCTCCTATTTTTTCTAAGTGCTTTTTGTGTCTCTAGCCGAGCACCCTCTAGCAGTGCCAAACAGTCGGTGGTTCCTCGTTTGGAGTGCCAACTGCATTCTTAGGGGGGCCGCTCGGTTCGGGATGTCTGTGTTGCCTGTCGGTGATGACGGATGGTCATCGGAGTGTCCCCTTGGCTCAGCGGGTGGTGGGAACCAACAGTCTGTGGGGTTCTATCGTCATGTGCTGCTTTGCTCCGTGTTGGATGTGTAGACTGTCTTGTCTGCGCTCTGCCGCGGTCTTGCTGCCCGTGCCGCTTGCTTTGCAGGTCGTCCTTGCTGCTCTGCTGCCTTGCCGCCTACCCGCAGGCCGTGCCTCCCGTGTCTTTTGCTCGCGTGCCTTGTGGTTTGGTAGCCTTGTGGCGGTGCCTCGCACTTCGCTGCACGGTTGCTGAGCTGCTTGTCTGTGTGCCCTGTCGGCCTTTAGTGTCCTTTGCGTGCATGCCTTGTAGTTTGATTGCCTTGTTGGTGGTGCCTTGTGCTTCACTGCATGGCTGCCGAGCTGCTCTTCTGCTTGCCCTGTTGGCCTTCCGCGTCCTTTACTTGCTTGCGTGCCTTGTAGTCTGGTCACCTTGTTGATGTTGCTTTGCGCTTCACCGCACGGTTGCCCAACTGCTCATCCGCTTGCCCTGTCGTTCCTTGCAGTCGTCTTTGGTGATAAGCAGCTGGGCTGCCTCTACTGTGTTGCCTGATGCTCCACAGGGTTGCTGCCCGCTGCTATGTCCCGCTTGGGGACAGTCTGCCTTCAACATGGGTCAAAGGGTTCATGACCCAAACCATCAAATACGGGGATTCTGCAGATTGTCGAGGGTTCAGCCTCCTGATGAGTTAGTGTAACTCCGACAAAACAATCTCATCATCATTTTTTTTTATTAATTTTTTTCAGTCTTTCGATTTGCTTGGGACTTGTATTTTTTTCGGTTTGCCTGCCTTGGTGCGTTTGTGTGCTGGTTTTGTGTGCTTGTTGTCTGCCCTCCCGCCTCCTTCATACCCTCCAGCCTGTGCCTTGATGTCTTTTGCTTGCTTGGTTTTGGCATGCCCTGATGTTTTTCTTGTCTGCCTAGTCTTGGCATCTTTTTGGGGCTTTGCCTGCTGGTGTGCTTGCACGTTTTTGACACTTGGGAAAAGATGGTCACGGATAACCACGTTTGTACAAGGTAGCTCCAGTGAGTTCGCAAAGTGGCAGCATGCAGTGTTAGTTTGGTTGCGGCAGGGCGGGGTGTACCATGGGTTTCATGGCGTGCATGGCGAGTACGTTGTGGGATACATTGGACACACACACACACAATCAATTTTATGTCTGTCAGTCTTT